TGGCAGAACCACTGAGCTAAATCCCTGGCCATTCTGATCTTTATTACATTTATGAGATATAGTATCTATTCATGAACCCTTAATAAGGATAAAGGTGACTAAAGGTCAGACTAGGAGATCCAATAACCATGTGGAAGGAGGAATGGCCGTAGGGTGCTATTTGAGATAAATGGGTGCTGGGCATGGTAGTGCAGGCCAGTAATCCCAGCACTCAGAAGGATGAGCCAAGAGAATTGCCACAAGTTTGAAGCCAGCCTGGGCTCCATAGTGGGTTCAAGGCCAACCTGAACTACATAGCAAGACTCTGTCTCAAAAAAAAAAAAAAAAAAAAGTCCTAAACTCTCACCTCTGGCTGACCTTGAGGCTCCATGCTGACAGAAGTAAACCCTAAGGCAGAATATAGCAAGCTGTATAATTCAGTGTTGGAAGTATGGTCCAATATGCACAGAGCCACTTGCAGAAGACTGGGAGATTTATTGGTTCCAAGACAGGTAGGAGAAATAACTGGCCTGTCGCCTGGTCCCACAACCGCTACACCTGTTTTGTTGAATAAATATTTTTCGGGGTGCTGAAACCTTGAGATTTAGCATTCTGAAAGAAGTTGATTCTAACCACTTTTGCTAGTTTTCCCCTTGTTTTTATGTGCAGGGGGCACTTTTTCAAGGGTTTCTCCCCATTTTCCCTCACGACTGTGGGGTGTTTTTATTTTTGATTTGTTTTTGGTTTTTTTGGTTTTTGGTTTTTGGAGACAAGGTCTCGCTTTGTCGTGCAGGCTGGCCTTGAACTCACTAGGTAGTCCAGGTTGGCCTCGAACTCAGGCCTCCTGAGTGCTGGGATTACAGGCGTGCCCCACCATGCCAGGCTTATAATAGTTTCTTGAGGGGCGGTTGGCTGACCTGCTCATGGTTGCTACACCCATTCGCTGTATAGTGTTTTGTTGTTGGTGGTGGTGGTGGTGATGGTGGTGGTGGTGGTGGTGGTGTGTGTGTGTGTGTGTGTGTGTGTGTGTGTGTGTGTGTGTGTGTGTTGCAGTTTTCTTTTCTCTCTCTCTTTTTTTGTTTGTTTTTGTTTTTGTTTTGGTACCGGGGATCGAACTCGGGTCCTTGCGCTTGCGGGGATAGTATGTTCTTAATAAACCCTTGTCTGATGAACCAAGAGAAGACAACCTTCCCATGCCGTTCTTGATTTCCCAGAGCCCGCACTGAGCTTGGCGGCCTGACTCGCTCTCTCTGGAGATGCCCCAGCGCTGCATGTGGAAGGAAAGATCCATGGGCCCTCTTCCAAGGTCTTGGTTTAAGAGAAGCAAGCAGGCTACAGGCACCCGAGAGTTCGGCGAGCCGGGTACCAGGGTGGAAATCTGCGCATATTCCAGGCAACCGGGAGACCAGCTGGGCCCCGCCCAAGAGCCAGTTTCCACGACAACCGTGGAAGCACTAGGAGAAAGTGCCAGATCCCTGAATGACAGCTCGGTCCGCTCCAGGTCCCTCCCGCGATCCAGCCCCTGGCCCGACTCTCGCGCGGTCTGAGCTTGCTAGCGCCGCAGGGGCCGACGGGAGCGGCCGCCGCGCTGAGGAGGCCGACATGGCGGCAGCAGCGAATGCGCTTCGTGGGTTGGTGGTGGGCTCGCGGGGCCCCGGGCTCCCAGGTGCACGTTCGCGGAGCCTGCTGGGTGGCCCGCGGCCCGGGCGGCTCCCGCTGCTGACGCCTCAGGTGAGCACTGGCTGACCTGGCAGCCGCGAGCCCCCCGGGGCCTGTGAAGGTCACGGCGGGGAGGCTCCGGTCGCTCACCGTCGCTCACCGGTAGTGGGAGGGCAGTCCCCACTCGGCGCCCCCGCCCCCGAATGGGCCCCCGCTGCCCTCATAGCGCCGGGCACTGAACCAAGGTGCGGGGCGCACTGGGTTTGGGGTCTCCCCGAGGGTCTGCTGGGGACGGTGCCCAGCGCCGGGGTCCACATTAGGTCCGCGTCCCGAGGTAACCCCAGCCTAACCTCACCCGGCCGACGGTGACCTTGGTCGGCCGAAGCACGTTAGGTCATTAGGCTGACCCCAGCTCAAGATCGGAGCTGAATTGCAGCCCTGGGGGGAGCGGCTCGGTGCTCCTCCAGTCCTGAGTCCTGCGGCAGTGACCTGGCCAGTGGGTGATAGGGAGCAGGCACCTGCGGCGGTGATCTGGCCAGTGGGTGATAGGGAGCAGGCACCGAGTCGGATCCCCAGGCCGGCAGGTGGTGCCCTGGCAGGCGCTGAGCGGGGCCTCTTGCAGGCAGTGTCCTTGTCTTCGAAGCCTGGCTTTTCCCGAGGCCGGAAGGTGATGCTGTCAGCGCTGGGTATCCTGGCAGCAGGTGGTGCAGGGCTGGCTGTGGCTCTTCATTCTGCTGTGAGTGCCAGTGACCTGGAGCTGCACCCCCCCAACTATCCATGGTCTCATCGTGGCCTCTTCTCCTCCCTGGACCACACCAGGTGTGCAGCTAACTGGCTGTCTGGGGGAGTGTCTCAGGGACTGGGTAGTCTAGAAAGTTAAGTGCCCCTAACCTTTCTTTCTTTCTTTAGCATCCGGAGGGGCTTCCAGGTATATAAGCAGGTGTGCTCTTCCTGCCACAGCATGGACTACCTCGCTTTCCGCCACCTCGTGGGCGTGTGCTACACTGAGGAAGAAGCTAAGGCCTTAGCTGAGGAGGTGTGGGGCTGGGAGATTCCACACAAGGCTTGGGGTTCCCACTACGGTGGCATGGCAGGGTTGTGATATGGCTCTTGGTGGCAGGTGGAGGTCCAGGATGGCCCCACTGAGGATGGGGAGATGTTCATGCGACCAGGAAAGCTGTCTGATTACTTCCCTAAACCATACCCAAACCCTGAGGCCGCCAGAGCTGCCAACAATGGAGCCTTGCCCCCTGACCTCAGCTACATCGTCCGAGCTAGGTACATGGACTGGAGAGGGTGAGGAAAGGTGGAGGGTCTGACTCTTGCCAAGGCCTGAGGAGCCATGGATCTGATTCCAGGCACGGTGGTGAGGACTACGTCTTCTCCTTGCTCACTGGCTATTGTGAGCCACCTACTGGGGTATCGTTGCGAGAAGGCCTCTACTTCAACCCCTACTTCCCTGGCCAGGCCATTGCTATGGCCCCTCCCATCTACACTGATGTCTTGGAGTTTGATGATGGTAAGTCCTTCACTGAGTCATTTTCCACCCCGAGACACTCCCCATGTCCCTTGGCCCAGGGAGGTCCTCCCCTTCTCTTGGCTGGAGGGTTGTCTGTGTATCTGAGGAGGGTTTGGAGTAGCTCTCACAGTCCTGTGGGGTTCTGTTCCTTTTAAGCCTTAGATAGGAGCTAGTCTGGCTCCATGGAGTGGCTCCCACTGAGGGTTATCCCAGGTTGGGTATTAACCCCTGAGGATACCATTCATCACTTGTCTTTGGGCTAGGCACCCCAGCTACCATGTCCCAGGTAGCTAAGGATGTGTGCACCTTTCTGCGCTGGGCATCTGAGCCAGAACATGACAATCGCAAACGCATGGGACTCAAGGTGATTGGTTGGGCAGGGGCCACAATGTGTATCAGAGAGGCGCTGGGAGGGATCTTTCCTGTGTCCCTTCTCTGAGCCTGCTTTGTCCCTAGATGTTGATGATGATGGGCTTGCTGCTGCCACTGATCTACGCAATGAAACGGCATAAGTGGTCAGTCTTGAAGAGTCGAAAGCTGGCGTATCGACCTCCTAAATGACCCTGTCCAACATCTGCCTGCCACCTTGCCTGAACAGGCCCTCAAGCCCAGGAGCCATCCCAGGCCTCAGCTGGTCCACTCTGCCCAGCCTCTCTTTATGTAGGTCGAGGGGAAAGGGCAGGAAGACCTGGTTGTTGCTCCAGACTTTCTTTCAACCCTCATCTTGGGAATAAATTAAATTGTTCAACATACACATTTGAGCTATTGTGTGATAGGCTTGCAGGGGATCCACGCCTTCACAGGAAGTCTCAGGCAGTGTGGCCAGCCCTGCCTTATATCTGGGAGACCAGACAGTAATGGGTGTGGGACAGAAAGCAGATAACACCATGGAGGTAGCATTCAGCAGGGTGTATGTGTCCTGGCACAGAAATGAAGACTGGGCCAGGGATTTAGCTCAGTGGTTCCAGCGCCTGCCTCACAAGCGCAAGGTCCCAAGTTTGATCCCTGGTACCAAAAAAAAAAAAAAAAAAAGAAATGAAAAGATTGACCAGGCCAGCTATGGCCCAGGAACCCAAGAAATTGCTAAAATGAACAATAAAATGTCAGAGTATTGAACCACTCAGCCTATAATACAGAGAGCAGCAGCATCTCAGCAAGAGGAAAGCCTGGAGCTATTGACTGAGCCAAGTGGTATTTGGGAGAGTAGGAGGCTCCCAGCCATGTTAGGGAATCAGAGTAGACAGAGGAAGGGTACCTGGGATATTCCCTAGTCACATGGGATATATGTAGTGTCAGTGTCTCATGAAATGTGGGCCCAGTCGATAGGGCAACTGTGTAGTGGGTCAAGGCCAGACAGCTTTTAAGTGGCTCAGCTCACTCAGCTGCCTGATACCTCTGAGGACACTGACAGGAGGATCAAGGAGGTATGACCTCAGCAGAAGCCCAGCACCTTGACTTGGGACTCCTTCCCTTGTCCCTGTGAGGGGAGGGAAAAATACCCATTCTCACTGTTGGTGTCATCCTGGCAGGGGTAGATGAGGGGAGTGAAGGCTGAAGTCTGGGGAATCTTGGGTAGACAGCAGCTGAAGGTAAGGCTAATGGTAGGGGCTGGGGCACACAACCCCAGCAGCCCCAGCCCAGTGGTCAGCCAGGGGAACACCTGTAAGCTTCAAAAAGAGATCCCAGTGCCCCATCACTACTGGGACTTGGGGTCCACGTCTACTCTTAAGTAGCCACCTACACCTGGGTAGGGAAGCCCCACCTGCTGATGAGGACCAGGCCTTGCCCTAACTCCCCCAGCATTTGTGGTTGGTCTCACTGACACAGTGATGGGGACACTGGACTGGCTTATGTTTTTAATGACTGGCCCATGGCCCCTCACACATACACACACAACCCTGGTGGCTTTGTCCCCAGTGAGCACCCAGTGGAAGTCCCCTGAGAAGTTCAGGAGGTGATCCAGGAACTTGGATCTGTGAGAGAATGCCCACATTCTCAGTAACCTGGAGGAAGAGATAGGTTATTCCTACTTGCTTGTCCTACACACCACCTCCACCCCCTAGCCTCTTGTACCTTTGACAGTTCTTAGGTGGAGGCTGTAGGAAGGGGATTCCAAGGGCAGGGCCTCTGGGTGCTACACATCTCACAGCCTGGGCGGCTTGGGGCATTGATGAAGGTGCAGGAAGGACAGGGCCAGCCAGGGTAGGGAGGTGGGGAGACTTCTGTTGCTTTTCTGCTCCTTCCAGTGACCACAGCTGTCCAGGTTTGGCCCACCCCTACCCACACTGGTCCCTTGCCCACCTGAAGGGGACTGGGGAGGCAGGAACTGGCTGGCTGGGGGCCTTGGGGCAGCCCCACTGTCTGGGGAAACAAGTGTCCTAGTTCCCCATCCATCTTCTGGGGACACTGAGGGCTGCGTCCTGTAGGAGAGGAGGGGGGCTCAGGGCTGTCTCCAGCTACACCCAGCATCCTTCACCTCCATCAAGGACTCACCTGGGGCTTCTCGGGGGGCTGAAAGGAGGTAGAGGAAGGCAGGGTCCCCATCCTGCTGGACCCCATAAGAAGCAAGGCTGCGCTCAGGCACACACAGCCATCGCCCAATGATCCAGCGCTGCACAGCAGGTGGGAAGCCAAACTCTGAGAACACCTGTGGGCAGAGCATCAGGGCTGGGCAAGGTTACCCCTCTCCTCACAGGACTCCCAGACCCTGTGCTCACCTGTTCCTGGAGAGCTGCAATGGTGCAGTGAGGGTGGACCTGCAGCGAGATGTGGGCAGAGGATGCTGAGAACATAGCAGATATGGCGTCTTCAACTGTGACCTGCAGCCTAAGCCAGAAAGTAAACTAGGGCTTGGGTGAGGAACCTAGGAGGATCAGAAGGGCAGAGTGAAGTAGACCCAGCCTAACCTGATAGGACCAGGTGGGAAGCAGGCTGCCTGGAGCTGGACACTGAGGCCCACATGATGCTGGGCCAGGATTGCTGCCACTTGAGCTGCCCCCTTCTCGTCTCCACGTGCAATGGCCTGGGTCAGGTCCCCAGCCAGCTCTTCTACAGGGATAAGAGGTCAGCTGTTACAGCCAGACACCAGCTATTTTCCCCAACCCCCTCTGGCTGCCTGTCCTTACCTTTCTCCAACAAGTCTCCAGGGCTCCAGGTCATATTTGCCTGAGACTGAGGTGCTTTGAGTGTTGGGGCCCCAGGGGGACTGGGCAGGGAAACGGGGCATATTTCTGGGCCCAGGCCTAGGGGTGGACTGCCACTACCTAGGAAAGAGATGTGGAGTCGCTGGTAGCCTTTTCCCAGGCCTCTCTGACTTTAGGTTTCTGGGACCTTTGTCTTCTCCCTCTTCATCTCAGCCTATGTCAGGTCCTGTCTCAGGCCATGCCACAAAGACACATTTTCCCCTCCCAGCCTTTGTCCCTGTAAACCCCTCAGAGGTCCCTGCCCGACTTCTGTTGATGATGGAGCTACATTTAGCTCATATTTGAGACCTGGGGTTCTGCACCCTTCTACTGCCTGGTCTCACCTGTGTCCCTCCTCCATACAGCAGAGCCAAAGCAGGTCCTCAGACAGGGGTCAGACCCTTCCTGCCCAACAGCAGCCCTGCAGTCAGTAAACTACTTTTGATGCCCTCAGTAACCTCTCATCTTCTGGCTTCTCCATCTGCACAGAAAACACTTGGGCTGCCTGCCCTGGGCATCCTTACAGAGCCAGGCCACTGCAATGAGGGGTCCGAACCCAGTGCTAACATCTGTGATGGCCTCATTCCCTTGATATTCTAACTAACTGTCCCCACACTAAAATGAGAACAGCCCTCAAGCACCTGGTGCTGTGCCTGTCCCTTAAGGGTCATTTGCACACACTCCCTTCAGAAATTTTATACTTGGTATTCCCTGGATCACATGGTTTATGCCATGACCTTCAAATTTCACTCATGTCACTCTCAAGGCTGCCTTTCCTGTATACACACACACACACACACACACACACACACACACATATATACACATACATATGTATGTATATATACACATATTTTTTTTTAGGTACTGGGGATCAAACTCAGGACCTTGTGCTTGTGAGGCAGCCCTTCCTCCTTCCAGCACTACCATTCCCTCCACCATATTGGGGGGGGGTACCTGAAATCGAACTCAGGACCTCACACTTGCCAGGCAGGTGCTAAGCTTCATCCCTAACCCAGCCTCCACTATCTAATGGAAGCTTATTTACTGATTTTATGTCTGTTTCCCCTCTAGAAATGCAAGCTCCAAGACGACAGGGATTTGAGAATTTGTTCAAGCTAAAGAAGTGTCCAGCATTCAGCCAGACCAGGTGCCAAGTACATACATACATTTGGTTAATGAATGACTAAAAAGAGCCTCTCTCCTTTTCAATGCAGAGTAGCCTGGGCGTCTCTTAAATTACACTGTCTGACTATCTTCCTTCTTCTGTCCCATTTGTGGGCCCTCCCTCTCCCCAAGTCACTATCTGCATGCCAGACCCTTTTCTTTTTAGGATTCTCTATCCTGGTGACTTTGGTTGACCTTTTCTGTGCCCAGTCTTTATTTCTGGAGAGTCCCAGCACTACACCAGATGTGTAAGAACTCAGCCACTTCCACATCCTTCCTTCCAAGCTGACCCTGTCTAGGAGCCTTGCACTACCTGGCCCCTTCATCAATCTTAACCACTAACCCTTCATTTAAACAGCCATGAAACTCAGCTAATTCCGTGACCTTAGAATCTCTGCAGACATGTACTGCAGCCCTATCAGGACCACCCCACTTGTTAAGTAGCTAAGATCTAAGACTATCACTCTACAACTGAGTACCCTTCCCGGTGTTCTTGAATTTAACTTGTCTTAATTCACACTGGGGTCCTATAGCCCTGGCTTGCTATGACTTGCCAACGTTTGTCTGGTACTTAAGCCTGCAGCTCCTCAACCTCAACCCTTCTCCACATTTCTACGTTCTTCCTCCTGGGAGCCTTCCCAGGCCCCCATATTCCCCCATCACTGCCCCCAACCCGGTCTGAGACCCCAGGGTTACTCTAAATGACCCTTAATTCCAACGACTGACCATTCTGTTCCTCCTCGGAGGCACCTTGCACCAGGGCTGCCCACCGCTGAGCTTCCTCAGGGTTGAGGAAGTGTAAGCTGAAAGTTCCAGGCCCTCCGGGCGGAGGCTGCAACTCGTGTTGGCTGGGGCCGCGGATGGTGTAAGAGACTGACTCCAAGGGCCACTCCAAACTGACCTGAGGAGGGGGAAGAGTCCAGGCTTAGTGGTCTCCTGCTCTGAATCTCATGGTGATCAAAGGAAGATGTGAGAACATCTACAGGCCACTAACAAGGAGGTATCAGCATTATCCCCATTTTATTTCTAAGACAAGCAAAGTAACTGGTCAAGGCCACTCAGTGGGTTGTCAGAAGGGCCTAACCTCGGGCTCCTCACACCACTTTCACTCACCGCCCCAGGTACCGCGCCCAGAAGTTGCAGCCGGAAACGCCCGGGCCGCTCGGGGTCCGCACTCAGCTGCAGCCTCCGAAGTTGGGCCTCCGCATCCGGCCCGGCACTCAGCGGCCTCACTGCAGCGTGCACAGCCAGGAGCACCGTGGCAGAGCCGGAGTCCGCGGCCGCTACTGCCCCACCTGCCGGCGGCGCCATCTCTAGTCCGCTTAGGCCCTGACCCTCCGAGCCTACTTCCGTCGATCGGGCCGCTGAGCGCCTCCGCCGACCAGAAACTAGGGCCCTGAGACTAAGTTCCGGCCGTAGCCAGTGTCCGAACTCAGGTGGGACCCAGGGCTACGCACTGGCCAAGCTTGGACCTTCTGCTATGTCCAAGGATGTACACGGCCCTATGGTCATGTTTGAATTGGGTATCGCAGCCAGTTATCAGAGTTTGAAGCACTAGCCACAACTGGAAAGCGGCCACGGACTATTCACTTCAAAGGCTCAGGCGTGTATAGGTTGCAGTTCTAGTTCCGGACTAGAGCGGCCCACGGGCCAGTGACCTTTCCTGCCCGCTAGGGTAGCTCGACCGCTACCCGGAGGAGCCTCAGGCTATCTACTCACACACCGGCCCGGGGAGCTTCCGCCAATGAGCGACAGGGAGGGAGGCGGGTTCGTATGGTGGAAAGAGTGACAGACAGGCCTCAGGTCCAGTAGGAGTGGAAGACAAAATGAGCGGCGGGGAACGCTCCCAATGGCTGGTCGCGCTTTTGAGCAGGAGGCTGAAGCGGGCCATTCAGAGGCGTGGGGCAGGGCCTGCAGGACGCTTGTTGTTGTCCGGACGAGGGAAGCGGAGGTCGCTGGGTTTGCTTGCTCGCTGGGGTGCTCTGTGTCGGTCGACGACAGGTCGGTCGCGAGAGTAGGCGCTGTGCAGGGGGGCGAGGCTATGTCGTGGTGGCAGCCCGGATGGGCCGGCAGGGCCTGGAATAACGGGACGTCGCCGCGGAGCTTCCCCCGGATACGGCGCGGCCCGAGCGGAGGCCGCGGCGCCACCCTGCGGCTCTGAGGAGCCCGCACCGCGCGGAGCCCGCCTCGCCTTTGCCCGGACACCGACGCCGAGCAGCCTGGCCGGGTCGATCTTGCCAAGGCAGGTGGGTGACCACCCTGAGCCCGCGACGACCGAGGCCACAGAAACCACAGCGCCCAGCGGGCCTCGCGCCGAAGCACTACCTCCTGGAACTCGTAGTTCCGTGGTGGTTTGGCAGGAGACCCACACTCGCCGCACTGCCTGCTGGGACTTGTGGTTCCGTCGAGGTTCGGCAGGTGCCCCAGCCGGGCCGGCCGACGCTGCAGCGCGCTAGCCGGACCGTAGGGGGCTCTCTCCGCTCTTTGGCGTATGAAAGGACTAGAAGTGCTTGCAGAATAGGAACCTGCCGGGGGGTTCCTCACTCCTTGCTAGAAAAGCGGCCTCTAGAACCGGAGGGCGCCCACCCAGGTGACTGCAGGACCTGGGCCTCAGCTGTCCTGGTTCTTACCCTGGCAGAGGAGCCCAGCTCAGCCTGAAAGGGGGACTGCAGAAGTCACAGTCCTTGGCAAGTGCAAAGTGATTCCCATGGTGGGTGGGTGGGCCTCTTTCTGGATGAGGATGGGGACAGTGAGGGTTGAGTGAAGGACTAGTCCAGCAGCCCCAGAGTGAGCAGAGTCCTGGGTTGTCCCCCTATCCTGCGTGATGCAGGGCATATGGCTGAGCTGGGAGCCTGAGCTTGCCACCTTCAAGTAACAGGATCTCAGCACTTAACAACTCGTGCTGAGTGTTGAGGGTTGGTAGAAGGAGGGAGAGGAGTTGTATGAAGACTGGACACAGCCCAGACCTATCTGTGCACAGTGGTCTGCTTAGGGGGTGGGAGGGCTAAAGGTAGAGCTCCATGGGGACAGATACACATGGCCTGGCTTCCTACATCCTCAGGCAGCAGTAGCCCCTCTGGAACAAGGAGTCCCCTCCCCAAGGTCATGAAGCTGTTGGAGAACTCCAGCTTTGAGGCCATCAACTCACAGTTAACTGTGGAGACTGGAGATGCCCACATCATTGGCAGGTGAGGCCAGAGGTTCTTGAAGGCCAGCATCTCAAAGGTCACTGCCCTGGCCCCTGAGTTTAACCTGGTGGGGTCAGCATGCTCCATGGTCCTGCCTGCATCCCATAGGATTGAGAGCTACTCGTGTAAGATGGCGGGAGATGACAAGCACATGTTCAAGCAGTTCTGCCAGGAGGGCCAGCCCCATGTACTGGAGGCACTCTCCCCACCCCAGACCTCGGGCCTCAGCCCCAGCAGGTGAGCTGAGGTGGGGCCTGCCTTTTCCAGGCTGTGGGATGGTGGGCTAGGCTGATGTTTGTCTCTGTACAGACTGAGCAAGAGCCAAGGTGGTGAGGATGAGGGCCCCCTCAGTGACAAGTGCAGCCGAAAGACCCTCTTCTATCTGATTGCCACGCTCAATGAATCCTTCAGGCCAGACTATGACTTCAGTACAGCCCGAAGCCATGAGTTCAGCCGGGAGCCCAGCCTCAGCTGGGTGAGGATCAGGTGGAGGGACTCACAGCCCCACAACCATCCCTGTTGCAATCCCCAACTTTTTTCTTTTCTTTTCTTTTCTTTTCTTTTTTTTTTTTTTGCTGTACAGGGGATTGAACTCAGGACCTTGCACTTGTGAGGCAGGCATGGCACCACTGAGCTAAATCCCCGGTCCAATCCCCAACTTTTTGTGGTTTCTGGGATCTAGCTAGTCCATACCTGCTGTCCTGGACCCCTGTCAGCCCTGACTATGACCTGCCCTAGGTGATGAATGCAGTCAATTGCAGCCTGTTCTCCGCCGTGCGAGAGGACTTCAAGGCCCTGAAGCCACAGCTTTGGAATGCAATGGATGAAGAGATCTGCCTGGCTGAATGCGACATCTACAGGTGTGCCAAAGTCCCTGCAGGTATGGCCCCCAGGTGTATGTGGCACCGAGTGCCTCACATTACTGCTTGCCCTACTCCCTAGTTATAACCCAGACCTGGACTCAGACCCCTTTGGGGAGGATGGCAGCCTCTGGTCCTTCAACTATTTCTTCTACAACAAGCGACTCAAGCGAATTGTCTTCTTCAGCTGTCGCTCCATCAGGTTTGTACCACCCATCTCCCATCCCCTAGCTCCCTGGGCCCCTACCATTTCCTCAGCTGTGCCCAACCACCCGACTGTGTACTGCCTGAACATCCTCCCTTGGACCAGCAGCAAGCTTGGGATAGGTAGTCCTAAGACTGTTTTCCCCACTTCCCCACCCAGTGGTTCCACCTACACACCCTCAGAGGCAGGTAATGAACTGGACATGGAACTAGGGGAGGAAGAAGTGGAAGAAGAAAGTGGAGGCGGAGGCAGTGAGGGTGGGGCTGAGGAGACCACCACCGTGGAAGAGGACAGGTATGTGGTAGTGGTGGAGGCCCCAGTCCTTGGAATGGGTGGGGTAGGTCAGGCCTACCTCTGCCTAGTCTGCTGGGTAGTGGCACTTAAAGTCTTGCTGTGTCAATCTCTGCTCAGGGTCCCAGTGATCTGTATGTAATGAGAAGAGCAGAGCCCCCAGCTTCATTCAGCTTCAACCAGTGCCTGGACCTCCGCACCTGAGGGGCCCTAGGACCTCCCCAGCTGATGGCCATACCCTGGCGCTGCCACAGTCCTGGTGCTGCGCAAGATCACACCTGCCTAGCCTTTTGGCACCAGCCGGTGAATGTCCACTCACCTCTGCAGGATCCTACTGCCCATGCTGTGGCTGGACTAGACAGCACAAGGCCTTGTGGGAAGAATGACTGCCCTGCCCAGATGGACTGCCATAAGCAGGGATGGACCACAGAATTTATTTTTGTATTTCCTATTGGGCCTGCACACTCCACCTCAAGGGCCAGTGTCCTGAGGTTCCACAAGCAGGTCCTAGTGGTTAGTGGCTCTGGTCTTGGGCCAGCCCCTGGTGCCCATCTGTCCCCCCACTTCGCCAGGAGGACTGCGTGCACTGAGTGTCACTTTGCTGCAGCTCATTTGTTTCCAATAAAAGTTTCTGTGACTTAGTATGGATCTGGGCACCATGAGGGTCGGGGCTGCGTCAGGGAGGGGCCTGTGGCTTTTGGTATCCTAGCAACTGCTAGGCCCTGGGAGCTGTTGGACACAACGTTGAACATGGAGGCAGAAGTGTTGGACGCAAGCAGCTACCTTTCAGCAGAGGGCGATAACCTGACTCCAGATTCAGATCTATACGATGTGGACAGCTATGACACCCCAGACCTGGGATTTCTGTTGGAAAAGATTGGTGAGGGGACCTGGCTCTGCCCCTCCCCCACCCCCCCTTTAGCGAACAGGTCTCACAAGGGCTCTGTTCTGTCCCAGAAATGCAACTTCTCCAGGCAGTTCCTGGCAGACATAGCACTGTCCGTGACCTTCAGGGTCGAAAGTGGCAGCACATTTTCCGTCCACCTGTAGATTTGTACTTCCGGGAGCCGCCACAGGTCCAGGAGCTCTTTAGCAGCAGCCAGCGATGGCAGGACATGTCTTTGTAATCCCGTGTCCGCCAGCTGTGGTTGCTCCTGTGGGCAGGCCTCCACAACCTCGTGGAAAAGGTGTGGCTTGCCCTAGCATCTACCATCTGGGCTCTTTCCAGACCAGCCCTTTTCCTGGGTGTTCCTGGTACCTACTGTGGCGGTCCCCTCGCATTTCCCTGGGCAGAAGTCCCCCCACTTTCACCTCCAGCCCTTAACGAAGGTCTTTGTACATGGTGGCCCACAGGCAAAGAATGCCAAACTGCACGTAGCTCAGCTAACACACGGGCTGGAGCCACTTCGCCGCCTGGAGGTGGCAGCTGGGCTGCATTCGGTGGCACAGGACCCAGAGGGCAGGCGCTTTGTGGTGCTGTATGGTGCAGGACACCTGCACCTGCATAGAAAGGACGGCTGGGCGCAACAGAAGCTGCAGGCCCCCGTGGCACTTACCGGACTGGTGGCTGTGCCAGGACCTCTGGGAGCTGTGGCCCGCTTTGTAGGCTGGGATCCCGCTGGGCTGGCCATACTGGGGCTGAGCCTCGGCCTGCTGTGGCTGAGCCAGCCAGGGGTGGGCAGAGTCCTGGGCCGCGAACTCACTTGCTGCCTGCCGGTGCCCAACCTGGGTCTTCTGCTCATAGCTGAGGTGGGCGGTGGCCTGACATTCTGGAAGTTCCGTTCAGGTGGCCACCGCCTGGTGCTGTGTGGTTCAATTGTGCAGCCACCGCCAGGCCTGGCTGGCACGCTGAAGAGGCTGGCTCTGGGGCCAGCGCCCACCCACCTCCGCCCGCATTACTTCGCAGCCTATGGCTCAGCGGTGCTCACTTTGGATCTGCACACCTGGGCTCTCGTCCATGTGTGCTGGGATCTCCACAAGACGTGAGGGGGGTCATAGGGACATGAGGCGGGTCCCTAGGGAGAGCCATGCACACATACATGGTCCAGCTTAATCTATGAGGCCCCTCTTTCCCTGTCTCCAGTACCATCTCAGACCTGGCATACTGCAAGGAGGTGGAGGCAGTGGTGACAGCTTCCCGGGACAGCACAGTGAGGGTGTGGGAGGTGGACTGGCAGATCCGGATGGTGTTTGTGGGCCACACAGGTGCGCTTACCCTGGCAGCTCTTGCAGTGCATTCTCTCTGCCCCAAAAGCACTCAGCTGCTGCCTGAGATCTTGGCCAGCCCAGACCAGGCTTCCCTACTTCAGCTGCACCGGGGCTGACTGCTCCCCCTCCCTCAGTTTCAGGATGCCGGAGTGACTGAGCCTCTCTTACAGGCCCAGTGACAGCTCTGGCTGTGCTCCTGAAAACCACCCTGGTGGTGTGGGCCTCGCAGGACGGGACGCTGCGCACATGGGACCTGCAGGCGGAGGCACAAGTGGGCGAGGTTCCTCTGTGCTATGGTAGCCAGGACGCGCTGTCCTGGCGCGTGAACTGCTTGTTGGCACCCGCAGGCACCGGCTGGCCGGTGCTGTCGCTGTGAGCCAGGAGCGTGGAGCTGTGGCAAGTGAGTGAACTCTACTCACAGCTGGCTCAGCTGCCTGCGCAGGTGCTGGACCTAGAGATGGCGCCCATGCTGGCCGCACCTGTAGACCTCAAGTTGCCCGCACGCCTCGTTTGCGCATGCGCAGATGGTTCAGTCCATCTGGTGTCTGCCGCTTCAGGGCGCAAGGTGAAGAAGACTGTGCTGCTGCAGTGGCCTACTGCCTGCCGCACGAGGCCCTTTGGCTGCTGACCCGGGCTGGGCACCTGGTGCGAGTGAACGCAGCACACTGCCCCATGAGCGTGGTACACCGCATGTGCCCACCTTTGCCCCCTGCGCCACAACCCTGCTGCCTGCACCTCTACAGCCACCTCACTGACCCAGACACAGCGCTCGCCTGCTGGGAGATCGTGTGCCAGCACGAGGGCGATCCACGCCAATGCGCCAAGGCCTGGGCCTGGAAGAACAAGAACCGGTGAGTGCCTGGGCCCCTCTGGGCTGCTGCGAACCAGGCCAGCCCCTCCAGTTTGGCGATAGGCCCAGAGCCAACAGGCTCATTCGCCACCTGCAGGTACCTGCCTGTGTTGGGGCACTCAGATGGTGTGCTGTCAGTGCTGGACTGGCTTTCTTCGAAGACCATCTTCTGTATGAAGGCACACAGTCCAGGCCCAGTCACCGCCATTGCATCCACCTGTAACAGCATCGTCTCATCGGGTCAGTACCTCCTTGGGCCAGAAGCCAGTCTGGGAGCCTCTCCCCTCCATGAAGATCCAGTCCCGGTTTCTTCTATCCACAGGTGGAGACAGTACTGTGAAGGTGTGGCGAGTCTTCCCCTATGCCAAAGAGAGCCTGAGTCTGTTGCACACCTTCTCCTGCTGTCACCCAGTTGTGCAGCTCTGTGCATTGGGCAATCACATCACTGTAGGCTTTGAGGACCCAGACAGTGCCACCTATGGCCTGGTACAGTTTGGCCTGGGTGAGGGCCGGCGCTGTGACCACCAGCCCCAGGATGACCCAATAGACCACATCACCGGTGAGGGGGTCAAAAGATAGGAGAAGCATGGGCCCTGTGTCAGCAGTCTAGTTCCTAACACCAGCCTGGCCTGCAGGCCTATGTTGCTCCCCCACGCTCAAGCTCTATGCCTGTGCCAGCCTGGACTGCACTGTCCGAATCTGAACTTCGGAAAATTGCCTGCTGCGGTGGGCTGGGCCCCCAGGGAGCGGGGTGGGGTCTTGGGGGCAACTGGTTTAGCTCTCTCCACCTCTGCCTCCAGTGAGAGCCCAGTGACTGAACTGGGGGTGGATAGAGCCTTGCCCCCATCACTCTTCAGTTTCCCACTCTGTGAGCAAGGGCTGAACTCTGGCTTCTGGGCACCCTCCCATAGGCTCTTGCAGCTGGATGATGCCCCCCAGGCCCTGGCTTTCTGCAGCAACAATGGAGACCTGGTGCTGGCACTGGGCTCTCGCCTCTGCCTGGTGTCCCATAGCCTCTACCTTCCCACATTCTACTTGGTTCAGGTGTGCCATGAGAACAGGGTGGGCAAGGTGGGGCTGCTGCATGCAGACAGGCTCCTGAGTCCAGGGATCAAGGCTCCTCTTGCTTGCTCCTCTCTCAGAAGCTGTACCAGAAGGGCCCTGACATGATGGATGACCCTCCGCTGCCGTTGACCAACCCAGAGTCACTGAGCCCCATGCAGCTGCAGAGGCTCACCAACTTGCAGGGTGTGGCCGGCCTCAGGTCTGCTGCCAGGCTCACACAGCCCACAGCATGAAGACTCAGGACTCCTGGGCCCCTCAGGGGCTGCCACAGGCCCATTCCAGCCTTGGCATCTCCTCTCCTGGCTGGTTCTTGTCCCTGTTTCTGCCCTGACCCACTGGTTTTGCCACCTAGCATCTCACCTGTGCTTGTCCTTGTCCCTGTCTATAGTGTGGATTTGCCCTTCATCCATCACCAGATGGCAGCACTTCAGCAGCCGGTGGTGAAGGAGGTAGAGGGTCCTGACTCCCTCATCACCCCATTGCCCAGCCCTGTCCCCTGTCCAGGCCCAGGCTGCATGTGCCTGGCCAGCACATGACAAGTTTCATGGAAGCATAACTGACTTCTGATCCCCACCTCAGGACATGGAAGCCCTAGAGACCAGAGAGCAAGACCTTCAGCAGTTGAGGCTAGGGCTAGTGGTCCCAGAGGCTCAGCCCCCACCCTCCTGGAAACAGCATCAGGAAGCTTTTGAAAATTACCTATATTTGATCTATGGCCCTGGCTTGCTGGTGGGTATGAGGCCAGCCCCAGCCCTAGCCATGGCCCTCACCCCAGGCCTGACATGGCCACCTGATGCCACCTGTGCCAGGGTATTCAATCTGGAAGGAATTCACAGCAGTGGAACATCTTGGCCTTCACCACACAGCAAGTGTCCCAGGAGGAGTATGCCTTACCCGGTGCTGCCTTCTGCTTCAGTCAGGCTGCAGTCAGCACTGAAGCCCAGACAGCACCTGCAGCCCCATCACCCCAGGCCCTAGGGACTGCAGGCAGGCGCTTGGCCCACCCTCCCCGAGTCACCTTGCCTATTCCACCCACCCCCTGGAGGATGCACAGCAAGGCATCCCAGGTGAGGCCTCCCTCCCTTTCCACATCCCTGCCCCATATCATGGCCTGGCCCTACCTGGACCCCCTCTCCCCAGTGGGAGTGATCAGAATCTCTGCCTTTCAGGGATGCAAGTTCAGGGGAAGCTGGGCCCTCAAGATCCATAGTCTCCATACTCACTCATACTAGGTGCCTAGCACGCCTAAGCCATCCACCAAGTACACATCTGGTCCCTGTCCATGTGGGTTCCTGACCTTCCAACCTGGGTATCCTCATTTTCCCAAGGCCTCTAGTACCCCCTCTTCAAGCTCCTTCTTTCCTACCCTGACACTTCCCTAATCCCCGTTTCTTGCAGACTTCCCTGTCCCAGCTTGGGCTGAGGCCTATGGAAAGCATATGGGGCCCAGCTGTTCTCTGAGGTTCCCCTCATTTCCCAGTTTAAGGAGTAGCCTTCCACCTGATTTCACAGGCTTCCCTGTGTACTGAGATCAGGGGCTCCATTTCAGTCTGACCCTTGAACTGGGCCCCTGGTTGAGGGAGTCAGAATGGTTAAGGGAGTGCCCTTGAGTGGTATCCCAGTTGGGCGACTTAAGGTTCTCGGTGACCCTGCTGTGCTCCACCTCCAGTACTGCCCACGGCCCATCAGCTTCCCAGGCTTTGTGCCCAACTCTGCAGTGCTGCAGCAGATGTGGCTGCCCATGGAGGTCAGCTGCCTTGGATCCCTGGCCCAGCTTGCCTCCCTGAACAGACTCAAAGCAAGAGGCAGGGATGGGGTGGGGTGGGGTTCAGGGAGGGCTCACTGTCCCACAGCCTGCCACATGCCCCCTTTTATACTTCACTCTCTGCAGCCAAGTCTAAACATGGATAGCCTATGGGTGTCACACCCTAGGTGGTCTACAGGCAAGTGGCAGAAGAGACTCATCCAGTGGCTTCACAGTGAGGAAGAAGAGGAAGAGGAGGAGGACAAAGAATTGCTGGAGGTGGACTTGTCCTCGGCTTCCCTAAGCCCAGATAACCTGCACTCACAGCAGCAGCTAGATTCCTGGGAGCCAAAGGCTTGGGTAGGCACCCCAGGGTGCCGCAGGAGGGGTGAGCTTGGTACCTATAACCCAGAGAGGGGGCCCTGCAGCTACTGTTGCTTCTTCTAGAACTCCACAGACTTGACCACAGAGCACTGGTGCTCCCATGAGGCTTCAGGGAGTAGGACCAACCTTGGCCCAAAGTACTACTATATGGAATCCCTCTGGGAAGAGCAATATGGGCATCTTCCCAGGTTCCTGCATTTTTTTGTTGTCCAGAACTGGTTCAAAAAGCTGTTCCTCATCTTCAGCCTGGAGGTTTGGAGGAGGCTTGGAAGCTTGGAAACAGGGTGGGGTGGTGGGTGGGGAGAAGGGAGGAGCCCACCTGGTACAGGACAGGGGCAGGGCCTCAGCACACTATCCCACAGGCCTACCCGGAGATGGGCACTGTGGAAGGCCTGGCCTCAATGTTCGTGGACCTGCTAGCAGAGGCCACCTGGGCAGACGGTGTGCATATCCTGCAAGCACTGCTGAGGCTGATGCCCAAGGTCAGCAAAGAGCTCCAGGGACGGCTACAGGGCAGTCTCCTGAAGTTGCTGAACCTGGACCAGCCTCCTACCCTTGAGGTAAGCTCCTTAATTGCCCCTTACCTGCACCCTTAACTTCCTGCACTGACTACAGTACCACCCCCCACCCCTATGCTCAGGACCCCACACAGAAGCAGTTTGTGATGCTGGCACTGCAGTTGCTCCTGACCTGCTCCCTAGAGTCCCGTGATGTGGTGGTGGAGCTCATGTCTTACTTCCTCTACTCTCCAGCTGCCTACCTGTGAGTCATGCTCCTGGCTGGTCCTCCCAGCCAGCTGGGAAGGCCTTGAGTTAAGCTGCACATATCTGTCTCAGGCCAGAGCTCAAGAAGCTGCTGGATGGGCTGGGGCTCCCGGATCCACAGGGCTTCCTGTTCAAGGAGATGAAGACCTGGGTCCAGGGCTCCGACCTTGGCTCTAAGGCCATGCTGCGTACACACTGCGTCCAGAAGCTGGAGGACATGATCCAGCAGCTGAAGGTCTAGGGAACAGGGGCTGGTTGGGGCACCCATAGGGAGCCTCTTACCTCCAGAAATCTAGAAGTCTCTGGAGAGGGCCAGGTGGGACTCCAGGAATGCCTCCTTAGGCTCTGTCTCCATGATTCCCCAACCTGAGTATCTCTGGGGAGTCCTGCTCCCACTGAAGGCTACACCAAGGGCTTTATGTTGGAGACTGAGACTGCTCTGAGGAGGCCTCCTAATTAGGCAGTCTTCCTGGGGCAGGGGTGGGAGCAGAAAGAAATTTCAGGGGCTAATGAGCTAGGGTGCTTTCTTGACCCGCCACTTCCCCTACAGATGGAAAACACACAGCTGACTACAGCCAAGTTGCCTATGGTGCTGCCCAAGGTCTTCAAGACCTCAGTGCCTTCCTCTCCTCCCAAGGAGACCCTTTCACAAGCTTCGATGATCTTGGGGACACCCACAAGCATCCTGGAGCCACCTTTGCTGGTGGTGCCACTGGCACAGCCTCAGGCAACTACCCCAGGGCTCCAGGCTGAGCCCACGCCCATGCAGGTACCCACCAGGTGGACCAAACACTTTCTCTCAGAGACACTACAGAGCTTCTCCGTGGTGCCCCAGGCCCGCGTGGATTCCCTGTTGCCACCTGCACAGCTTGATGAGCTGCTGCCGCTTGAAAAAACCGACTGGTCGCATTCAAAGATGCTGGACCTGCGAACCACTGATGCACTGAATTTCTTCTGTGAGAAGCAGCATGTGCGGCAGCTGAGCTCCCTGCAGGAGGCCAAGTACAGGCCCGTGGCCCTGTGCCTGCCAGAGCCCAACACTGTGGTACCGCTGCCTCGGGATCGCAGGTACGCTGTGCAGGCGTTGGCCCAGGGTGCCGGGTAGGTATTGGGTGTGGCTTGGCTGCATCTGCACCTTCCCTAGGTACCACCCCATCTTCCGGCTGCAGGAGGCGGAGTCCCAGAGCTCCAGGATGAGACTGAGGGGTGAGTGGGCCCCAGGGTCCAGCCTGTACCCTGACTCCGGCCCTGCCAGCCCCTGCCTCATTGCCTGTTTGCTCCTAGGCTGTGCACTGTCCCGACACAGCACCCATGTGCTGGATGGCGCCAGCCACGCGCTGAAGCTCCCGCTGCCACGGGTGGAGCCACAGCCCTTTCCCCCTGGCTGGCCCAGGCCTGCTCATGCTCGCCCCCCGCAGCTCCTACAGCCGGCCCTGCAGCGCTACTTTCTTCTGGAGGACATGGACCCTGACAACTACAGCTAGGGGCTTTGGTTTGGTGTTCCTCCTGCCAACTTGGCAAGTTGCACCCCACCCCCCAGCCTATCCTTTGGCCTAGAATAAAGTCCAGAGGCTGGGACTGCACTTCAAATACGACCTCCTTCTCTCTGGGATTTTGGGGGAGAGCAGGGAGGCCAGGTGGGGCATCTGAATCCTCCTGCAGAAAGCAGGAGCGTGGGCTCTGTTGTGTATGGGGTTGGACAGCACCTGGCACTTGGGCCTCGAAGATGAAACACCTCCCCTGCTGCGGTGGCCCATCTGCCTGGCAAGGAGGAGGAGACCCATAGTGTGGGGCAGTTACTAGGTATTAAGATGGTACATTGCCCATAGAGATGGTTCTCTGGGGCAGCAAGAAGCCACAAGTGTGTGTGTCAAGGGAGGGGCCTTCTGCCAGACATGCTGTTATCTGAGAAACAAGGAAGTAGCCTGCTTTGGATCTTGCCTCCTAAAAGTCCTTGTAAGGTGGACATTGTCTTGGGGTGCAGGGTCTCAGAGGGGCTCATTTCCTTCTGACCTGGCAGGGTGCTGATGGGACCACTGAGGGTCCATCCACAGTTAAGTTATTTGCTCTGCTTTTGTGAAGTTGCCTAGCTTTTTACCTCCTTTCATTGAGTTGGCTGAGCAGTAATCTCCCGTAAATTCTCACCCTCTGATTTTAGACATTTCTTCTTTTGGGGGGGGGGTACCAGGGATTGAACTTGGGACCTTGCACTTTCGAGGCAGGTGGCAGAACCACTGAGCTAAATCCCCAGCCCTAGACGTTTCTTCTTGATGTTTAGAACTGGACTTCCATTCTTTCCCCTTGTTAGAAATGAGCCCCAAGATTCAAATTGTTGGTGCCGAAAAGAATGCACACAGCAAGCAAGAGGACTCGACCAGGCAGTTTAAAGTTTACTTGTGCAGAAGGGTATGAGTGCACTCAGACACAGGCAGTAGGCACATCTAGGGGGTCAGTTTGAACCCTAAGACATGGGAAGCAGCTATTCTTTAAATTTACTGGCTAAATTCAAAGGCTTACAATCTATAGCAGTTGACTAGTCGTCTCATGTCACAAGGGGAGGATCTGAAGGATTGCTGAGGAGGAGGAAGAGTGGGAGGGGAACAGAAAGTCTTTCGCTATTAATAAGCTATCTTTGGTCTGTAGCTATGTTCCTAAAATTTAGGTGTTTTGGGCCTGGTAGCACACTCCTGTAATCTCAGCACTGAAGAGGCTGAGGCAGAAGGATCACTTAAAGATCAAGGCCAGCCTGAGCTACAGAGTGAGTTCAAGGTCAGACTGAACTACATAAGGAGACCTTGTATTAAAAAAAGGGGGGGGGCGTCTAACTCAGTGGTTCTGCCACCTGCTCCGCAAGCACAAGGACCCAAGTTCGATCCCCGGTACCAAAACTAAAAAAATTAAAAGGGCCAGGAATTTAGCTTAGTGGTTCCACTGCCTGCCTTGCAAGCATAAGGACCCCAGTTTGATCCCCGGTACCAATAAATAAATAAATAAGCATGTGAACCTGTAATCAGCAGTCACACTGGTGGTTACTTTATTCCAGAGACATGAAGACTTCCCTCTACACAAAAACCTGCATGCTAAATGTTTTTTTTAGCAACTTTATTTGTAATACCATCCATAAGTGTGATGAAATGGTGTAGAACTACACATACACATTTTAGTTTTGACCTTGTACAATAACTCCATGAGATGTAACAATTGAGGTACCTCGAACAGCCAGAGTCATACAGATTACAGGTCACTAGAGACTGGGGGTAGGGGAGGTAGGAAATTAATACTTAATAGTGGGCTGGGGATTTAGTTCAGTGGTTCCACTGCCTGCCTCACAAGTGCAAGGTCCCACCGAGTTTGATCCCCCATACCAAAAAAAAACCACAACTTAATGGTGACAGTTTCTTTCTTTTTTATTTGACACAGGATCTCACTATGTAGTTCAGTATGGCCTTGAACTCACAGTGATCCTCCTGCCTCCGCCTCCCAACTGCTGGGATTACAGGCCTGTCCTCATTGGGTGATAAAAAAAGTTTTAGAGGGCCGGGGATTTAGCTCAGTGGTTCCACCACCTGCCCTGCAAGCACAAGGACCCGAGTTCTATCCCTGGTACCAAAAAAAAAAAAAGTTTTGGAAATAGTAGTCATAGTGCCAAAACATTGTAGATGTAATTAATGCCACTGGCTGTATACTTAAACATGACAAATTTTGTTATATGTTTTACCATAATTTTGTTTGTTTTAGACAGGGTCTCACTATGTAGTTCAGGCTGACTTTGAACTCTCTATGTAGCCCAGGCTGGCCTCAAACTCACAGCAATCCTCTTTGCTCAGTTTCCCAAGTGCTGAGATTACAGGTATGCACCACCATGCCCGGCTTTATACCACAAATTAAAAAAATAATGTGATATACCAAAGCCTATTGAATTTAAATGTGTGATTTGAGGGCTGGGGATTAAGCTCAGTGATAAAGTGCTTGCCTAGCATACATGAGGACTTCAGTTTAATCTCCAGGACCAAAAAGATTCTGTGGTATGTGAATTCTATCTCAAAATAGATGTTAAAGAAAAGGCACAGGGTTGGGCATGGTGGTACATGCCTGTAATGCCACCACTCTGGGATGCTGAGGCAGGAGGATCACAAATTCCAGGCAAGACTGGGAAACTTAGCAAGATCCTGTCTCAAAATAAAAAGGACTTTGGGGGCCAGGGGTTTAGCTCAATGGTTCCGGCGCCTGCCTCACAAGTGCAAGGTCCAGAGTTTGATCCCCAGTACCAATAAAAAAAGGACCTTGGGATGTAGCTCAGTAGAAGAGTACCCCTGGAAAAAAAAAAAAAAAAGAGTACCCCTGGCTTCTATCCTTGGTACTGGGGGGAAAAAAAGCACAGGATCTATTATGAAGGAGTCTCCAAGGACCAAATTGAAGACGATTTGTGGATGAAAATAACCAGAGGAATGTATTATATATCCCCCCGTCCCACCCTCCCCGTACCAGGATCAAACTAAGGGCCTTGTGGTTGCCAGGCAGGCACAACACCACTGAGCTAAATCCTTGGCCCCTTGTATTTCTTTAAATAAAATAGGATCCCATGAGTCCTCAGCCCTACAGTGATGATAAAGCTTTTCTGTACAACGAATGATGAAATTAGAAAATCAGCATTTGGCAACCATCACGGTAATAACTTGGAGAAAGAAAGCAATATATGTGGAAACTAGTGGGAGAAAGTTGGACAAGGAATACTTACAGTCTCAAAGTACATTCTCATAAAATATTTTTTAAAGAGAGAAAAAGTATCACTTGACAGTGACTGGCACTATGGTTTGGGTATAGTTTATCTCCCAAGGACCAACAGTTAGGGGCTTGGTCCCCAGTGTGATGTAGGAGGTGGCAGGACCCTCTTGAGGTGGGACCTCATGGGCAATGCCAAGGGCATTGGGGCCTGCTCTCGGGTATGCTTGAGGGACCTCAGTATCTGGCTTCCTGTTGGAGATGTGACCCTTTCTTCCTCGCTCATCTGTCATGGAACCCTTGCTAGAGCCAGTGCCCTGTTTGGACTTCCAGCCTCCAAAACTGTGGGCTAAGTAAATCTCTTTCTTCATAAGTAGCTTGCCTCAGGTCAGTACAACATAAAATAGACTAAATCACCCAGCCTATCTCATCTTAATTGATTTTAAAACTACAACCACAACAGGGACGACCAGGCATTGTATGCTTCTAATGGAATAAATGTATAGAAGCCAGCACCTGTTCTACTCGCTAGCCAAAATGTGTATCCTGAACCCAACCAACCAGCCACCACACACATACCAGTTGAGGAGTAGACACATTCTACAACTAGCTGGTCAGTGACCTTCAGTCTGGACCACGGGTGACAGACAAGCTGGGGAAGTGCACCCTCTGAAGGAGACTGTGGAGGTAATTGTTGGGATAACTGGTGTGATAAAGGATCGTTGGGTCTCTGGGTCAAGGGTATAAGGGAGTATTTCTGTACAGTCAAGTTTTTAACTGTGGATCTTTACATTTACCTTGGGAATATTTAAGATACCTCCATACTGGTGAATTCTACAGATACTTACTCACCCAGTCAATGCAATGCCAAAGTCACACCACAGCTGTGAATGCCAGTGGGCCCTGAAGGTATATATTTTTGTCTCAGCCAACCCCCTCCCCAGGGCAATATTCACCTAGATTAGTCATAACATTTCTGTCCATTTCTTGAGTTTTTTACTCCAATTTCCAGGTGTGTGTACAGCATGCAGTTTCCCTTGGACTCTTACACTCTCTTCCTCAATTCCCATGGGACTTTCATGCAAAGTCAAGTTAGGATTGAGACCATGAGGTGCCTTTCCCACAAATTTTACCCTAGGGTAAATCCCAGCACTTGGCATTTATGAGGCACTGACCCCTGGGGCTGTTCCCTGAGTGGCCTCCTTAGCTTCCCTGTCCTAGGGCCTTTGTCCTAGACTTGAGTGAAATAAAAATAATACCAGTCTATTAATAGGTTTTATATTTTATGTAAAAGTAAAATATAACAATGTATGTGTCATAAAATAAATGGACAAAACAACCACCCTATATTACAATAGAAGAAAGGTCTCCAATCAGTGGCTTCCAACCTCATGGCCTAATGGCCTCTTAGAGATCCCACCTTTCACATGAACACAGGAACTCTGGAGGACATGTTCAGACAACAATACATACAAACTACCAGAAGTCATCCAAGAAGAAAAAAACAGGGCCAGGGATTTAGCTCAGTGGTGCCGCAGCCTGCCTCACAAACACAAGGACCGGAGTTCGATTCCCAGTACCAAAAAAAAATTGTAATAATAAGAAAAAAAAAACAACTGAATAGCTGTATATCTACTTGGTGGACAATAGTCTTGCTCCATTGTCCAGGCTGGTCTGAAGTGAATTGCTATGCATAGCTTAATAAGTTTTTCTTGGCTTTTATTTTTTTTTTGGAGCCAGGGTTTCACTATGTAGTTCAGGCTGGCCTTGAGCTCACTACATAGCCCAGGCTGGCCTCAAACTCAGAGTGATCCTCTCGCCTCAGCCTCTCAAGCACCAGAATTACAGGTGTGTGCCATCATCGCTCTTTTTTTTTTTGGTTAAAGAAGATCTTGAACGTGGCTTATAAAACTCAGTATCACTGGGAATGTAGCTTAGTGGCACTGTGCCTGCCTGGCAAGCACAAGGTCCTGAGTTTGATTCCCAGTACAAAAACAAAACAAAACAGGGCCAGGGATTTAGCTCAGTGGTTTTGCCGCCTGCTGCGTAAGCTCAAGGACCCAAGTTCAATCCCTAGTACCAAAAAAAACCAAAAACAAAAACAAAAAAACACTCAGTATCATACCAGTGTTAATTTCCCCATTTTGACCTATAGACTCAATGCAATCTCAACCAAAATTCAAGAAGTTTTGAACATGTGTTTGTATACAAGTTGACAAGCAGATTTTAAAATGCTTATGAAATACAGAGACTAAAGGACAGCCAGGGCTTATGAGAAGGAACAAGATAGGGGGCTTACTACTCAAGACACTCAGCCATGGGATTAGAATGAGAATAGAGAGCAGTCTTGGTTCATGGATAGGCCAAGTACAGTATGAAAAGACAAAAATTACAACAAATTTAAAGACCTTACCTGGCTTTTAAGAAATAAAAATATTTTAATTGGCCCCTATTTCATTTATTCTAACAATCCTTTATTCACAGAATTAACTGGGTCAAATAGTGGACACAGACACACAGGGTGTAAAATGGCTCACTGTTACTGGGGTATGAGATAAATGTTGGACAAACAAGTTTTCATGAATTATTGTCCTGAGAAGCCAAAAAGTCATAACTATAAAAAGGAATGCACAGCGGGCCATGGTGGCACACACTTGTAATTCTAGCACTTGGGAGGCTGAGGCAGGAGAATTGTTGCAAGTTTGAGGGCAGCCTGGGCTCCAAAGTGAGTTCAAGCCCATCCTGAACTACATAGGAAGACCCTGTCTCAAAAAACAAACAAAAGAAAGAAAGAGAGAGAGAGGGGGGGGGGAGAGAAAGGAAGGGTGAAAGAAAGGAAGAAGGAAACAAAGAAAGAAAGAAAAAGAGAGAGAGAGAAAAAGAAAGAAAGGGAATACACAGAATGAACAGAAGGAAAGGGCACAAAGAGAAGGGGGAGGTAAGTAACAGGTGCCTGCCATAGGCTATGAACCCCAGATCCCAGGCCATGGGAGGAGGGGAGACAGGTTCTTGCGAATTAGGAATAAAAAGCATACAGCTTCTCAACTCCTGTATGCCTGTCGGATCAGACACTGAGGCTTAT